TCGGCCCGAAAACAATGGCCAGGTTCTGCGAGCTCATACGGTTGACAGAGCTGTTCTCCATGACTTTGTGTAGATGCAATGCCAAGGCACGCAGCGTGGCGTAGTTCGGGTCCGGCATCCCGTTAATGATGGCATGCATACTGTCTCTCCGTACGATATCGTCGTCGTGCTTAGCGGCTTCGATGAATGCTGAGTAGTTCTCCGAAGTCAACAGGGGATCTGGTAAGTCGCGGAGGAACTGCTTCAACAGCCCGGCAACACTATTGACGTCGTGAAAAAAGTTCTCTGGGTTGCGGAAGTCTAGGATGTGAGACTCTTGATCTAGCTGCGAGTTAGTTCGTGCAGACCCAAGAGAGGAAAGAGAGGTACGTACTAGTATCGAACAAATTTTTGAGCTTGTTCACGTGTACTGACGAGCCGGAAAGACGATAGATGCCTTCGACCGCTAGACCATACAGATTGACTGCTTGAATACACTGGTGTACCACCATGGGGACAGCAAATTGATCGCGCTCATAGAGGCGGCCGAGAGTAATACCGAAGACTTGTCTGTTGCCTCCACTAGGGGGCATTCTTGCGGGAGAATCGGAGCGGGGATCTTGCGGCTGTGAGGGTGCACCGTAAGGACTTGGCCCTCCTTGAGAAGGAGACTGGGCCCTTGACTGTTGAGTCTGGAAAGACAAAGCACCTAACTGTGGTGGGCCACCTTGACTGGTCGTGCTCATGGGACTGCTGATGCCGCCCCCATTGAAGCGCGATTGCTGCGGCAACCCGTGTGATGAATTTCTTACGTTATACGACTGATTTGATGGCCCAGACGGACCGGGAACCTGACTCAGCATGGCACCGTGACTCTGGCTTCTCTCATGTCCCTGTCCAAGGTTTGAGTTTGTTCGCTGCGCAGCAGACATTGACGGGGGAATAAAAGGCTGAGGCGAACTGTTTTGACCCATAGGTGATGCCGTGTCAAAAGTGCCTGTACCTGTCCTCCCTAGAGTTCCTGGGGGTTGCACCTGGGTCTGTAAAGGAGGAAGCATTTGGCCAGGAGCCATATGTTGAGACGGTGGTCTGCCCATTTGTGTCGCCTGGTTAAGTGATACATTTGGTTGGGGGTTTAGAACCTAGGTCATATCAGTTTCCATCATCAAAGTGTAGGAGCTACGAGTACGAAACATACCGGATTGCGCTCATACTTTGGTTCCGGCTGTTTTGGCGGCAATTTCGTATAACAACTTGTAACATAATCCTCCAAATCCTTTCTATTGTCTATGCCGTGGATGACCTCCTTTAAACTCCTAGAAAATTGGCCAGGGCCAGTGGCATTCTTCAAGGGACTAACGACCAAGCCATTGCTTAATAACAGTTTCTCGTTGAACGATGCTGCTCTTCCGTTAGCCAAGGGCTTGTAGCGCGAGAACTGCCGGTATGCTGCTTACCGAACTTCTGCAGCTGCAATGTCGTCCCAGCATCACACTCCCTTATCGTGTCTTGCAGAGCTTTGATCGCTTCGGGCCGGGTGGTGGCCTCCATTGTTGCTTTTTCGGACAGGTAGGTCTGCACTTTGCCCATGTAATCTGTGTCGGCAGCTTGTGTCTTGCGCAAAAGATCTTCCTCCTGTTGAGCGGCCGACTTGGGCCCTTTAATGCCAAACACGCGAGGTCCTTGTTTGGCCTCTCCCGTCTTTACTCTGTCGTACTCCTCGGCCAACGAGTCGTACTTGGTCTTGGACTTCCGCATGGCCGTTTCGAGGTCGGCCAGGCGCCGCTCCGCATCAAGACCGTTCTGTTTCCAGCCTTTTCGATGCTTCTCAGCCACGTTGGCCACCTCGAGAAGGTCGTCCTGCATGTGGTGCAGCGATAGTGCGAATTGGGTTCCATTTTCGGCCATGCGCTCGTGGATCTGTAGCATCTCATCGTAGGCCTTGGCAAACGTGCCTTGTCGGTGGTCATGGTGGTGGATTGGGGTGCACATCTTCTTCAGCCCTCTCGCGTGAGATTCCTCCAGTTTCGACCGTTCTTTCAAGAACCCAGCGAACTCCTGCCATATCATGTCAGTGACACTGCTTCCGCCATAGCCAGATCCGGAGCTTGAATCAGTTCGCCGAGATTAATAAAGCATCGAATAACGAAGCGTATATGAATCTGACTATGGCCCAAATAGCCAATAGACTTGGGGTTTGGAGTGAACTTGCCTTTGCGGACGCAATACTCTGTTTTAAGCGGTTGAGCATAGTCGCGACACCAATCTACAGTTGTCATTAGCTACGTTCCCCCCGCAGAGCAACATGCGTAACGTGCGGAAGCCATACCTCAGAGCCCAAGACTTCCTGAGCGCGGGGAGACAGCTCGGTCTTTGCGCCGGCAAGGGGCGCCGTCGGGCTGGAATCGGGTACGGCACCATCAAGATTGTTCCCCGGGGCGGTCTCTGGGCGTTGGGCGGCGGCGAAAGAGGTACCGTTCTCGGCCGACGGGCTGGGAGGATTGGTAAGGGACATGGTGCGGTCGTAGTCAGGATTCTGGGGCGACGTTTGGTCGAGAGAGGGCCGGCTAAAGTCAGCCATGGTGAAGGCTGGGTCGAGCTGGGTATTTGCACGGGATTCGGTCGGGGGCGGTAGGTAGAATATGTCGCACGGGACAGGACAAGACGAGCTGGTGATCAGCTTCTGATCGGCAAAGGCTGACAGTGGTAGTCGATATGGAATGGGTGAAACGAGGGAGTGCGTCGGAAATTCACAGCACGCGGGACGTTCCAAGGTGGCGCAAAGGGTGGTGAATTATGCCGGGAGCTGTCAATGGCAATGGTGCAACTTGTCGGGCCCGATGGCGAGTTGCTAAGAGATGTTGCCCATTCGAAGATGGGTGAGCAATTATGACTTGTAGTAGAAATATATGCGACGGTGAACAGGTGAGAGGGTGGTGACAGGCGACTACCTCCAGCCCTGGCGCAGCTGTGACGAGTTTGACGATAGTCCTCAGTCTGTCAGTACAGATACAAATGTGCTTGGGCAGACATGCAATGAGGCAACGACGGCTTCGGACAGCACCAATAGGATTGAAGCACGGGCCTTTACATACAGGCAGCCTCTAGGCCCTTTACTAGCACCCGCCGACGTAACACAGCGTGCTGCGGTCCCTCGCGAGCCTCGTGTCCCCCTCTGCCCAGGCCAATCGCAGCTCTCCCTCCAGGGTCTGGAGATGGGGACAGCCGTTGAAGCTTGCGCAATGCAGCCCACTGCTAAAATCGTATTCCGCCGCTGCTGAATCACCCCTGCTCCCCAGTACCAGTAGTCTGGCTGGCCCTTGAAAGAACTTGTCCACCCTGTCCATCCTGAAGCATAGTAGATTTCTATCTCGACGTCGCCTTCTCGTTCCCCCGCGGTGGCAGTGTGGTTACAGACGGTGCAACAACTCGTCTGATGACACGATGTGACTATGGCCTGGCTTACCATCGGGTTCATGAAGAAATGATCATTCTCTCGTATCTCTTGCTCCGGAACTGACGCCTGGTGAATCGCCAGTCTACACACCCACCTCGGCTCCAAACCCCCAGGCGACACTCCTAGTCACATATTGCAGCATCCGATTAAAATAAGATCTGAAGTATCAGACCACATGAAACCATTCCATCGCCATCGCCCTGTTGTATTCGTGGGGGCACAACCACCTCTGCTTCTAAGTCTAACAGCCAAATCCCCTCATCCGTTCTACAACAACAAACCCCCAAAGCAGTCGAAGTAGAGCCAATAGAGACCATCCACCAACGGCTACCGTCTCAGGTATCTTAGCTGATACGCTGCACCTGGTCCCACGCCGGCTGGCTGTACCGATGCCGCTTGCCTGATCGACGAGAAGGATCTCGGATGCTGGCCGCCTCTCGTTATCGCCTCACCCCATCTCATCATTTGACCCTGTCGAGGGCGGCCTGAGAAATATAGCCCCCAAGACTGACTACACACCTTGGGACATCACTGATTTAATTAACTGTTCGGATCGGTGTTCAATTTACACTAGATTTCGACAACGTACTTTTCAGAGTTTTGAAATTGGAGAGTTTGTCGAACAGATCTAGGTGACCGACTACGGGTACGTGGAAAGTTTGTACGGTGCCATGTAAATATCGACTCGCCCAGCCATGCCTATCCGTTGAGCGTTGACCTGCAACGAGCAGCGTGCCATTTGGTGCTACGTGAGATGCTCATTTCAGTTCGCTATGCTCGAGTGACACGGCAACGCTCTAGTGCTACCCTGCAATCTGAACTTGGACATCGATGTTGTACTGTTGGTAACGATGAATCCTTCCTGAGGTTGACCAATATTGTATGGAATCTGTGGCGCTCTCTGAAATTGATGTCAGTCTATAATGTACCGCATAGTATGACATTTGCATAAATGGTCGCTTCTGTTGATGCAACACGGAGCTTCTTACCCAATATGACATTATAGACCATTCGGGCAGCACTCAACGAGTGCCCCTGAGTGATAAAGTGTCAATAGCTTAGAGGAACTATTAAATTAACTGGTCTACATACTGTAGTTTGCGACATCATTTGGTATTGTATAGAGGTAGTGATAAGTCAACATCAGATTTGTTACAGGTGTCATTCGTACAGCTTACCAAACCCTGATGTTCGCAAGAGATACACGAGACAACAATGGCCACCAGCAGTCACGATTGAATCATTCCAACGTAACACTCTAAAGTATATGAGGACAATGGTGATTCTACTTGAAACAATGCCAAAGTATAAAGAAGTCGATGATCAAGTAAACAATCAATCACTTCTTTCACATTACAGCCCCGTCATAACTCTGTCCGACAGTGATCAGAAACGTGTCTCAGACATATTGTCACTGTGTCATAGCGCATTACAGTATTCCCTAGCTCAGCACTGTCCCACACTGAATCCAAACAGCCGAACTTCTTCCTTCGACCCCACATCCGCGCCCTAAACAAGGAATATGAAGAGCGGTAGTAGGCGGCTTTTCAACAATCAGAACACATCCGAATTAGTGTAACGGTCAACATATCGCGTTTTCAGTTCTAAAACCGCGAAGCTCGGGGTTCGATTCCCCGATTCGGAGTTTATCTTTTGCAGATTTCTGGTTGTTAGATTCTTTTCTTACATTTTTGTTCAGCCAACAATGGTTTTCAAATATTTGCGGACTCAGGCAGCCTTAATTTTGCTCAGCCATTTTCTAGAAAAACAAAATTACTATGAATAAGGCATCTAGAGCGCTCTTCAAAACAGCAAAAGCAGGCGCAGAGCATACCTTGTCGCATTTGTCCAATTCAACTCTCCATGACCTATCTAATATAGTATCCATATTTCTAATCTGTATTAAATGATCGCTTGAGATTTGAGAAGGCAAGATTCAACAATTTAAATATAATTATTGGGGAGCCAAGCCCCCAGCTTCGCGGAGTAGAAGCGTTTTCCGTTTAGAGAGACTGGTGGCAACAGCATGAAGCGTCGTGACTGTTGATTGACATAGAGGAGAGCGCAACTTACAAAGTCAGTCTATGAGATACGTCCAGCTGTAGATAACTAAATTGCAAATCAATTAGACCTTAGTCAGTATTGGGCCTGCTGTCAAAGATATTTTAAAACCACATGCTTTATCGAGAATGCAGCTATTAGTGTTGCCGGTCGCAAACCCAAATGAAGATGTACTACCTATCCCTTTAATTGCGATTTCAACTGCGGGTACTTACTGGGATAGTTATCGATATCGTTACTCAATAAAAACGAATCTGGGAAAATATCGGCTGCGATTTATTGGGTGCATCAGACACCAGCGAGACCCACGCTATCAACCCTGCTACGTAGATCCGTACCAGCAGTTGAAATCGCAATTAAAGGGATACACAGGCACCTGATAGCCCCACAATTTCCCGCCTCAGGGCCAGACGTCATTCAAGTAAAACAGCCTTGGGCAATTGCTGGAACGTCAGTCATAATGAAAATAACCACAAGACATGGGCCGAAACCTGGTAGTTGCTGCCTCGATAACCTCCAGATCATTGTCACCTAGCAGAGTAGCAGCGCTACGCAAAAGGGATCATTCGGTGCAACCAACCACATCCCACTTCTACACAGCTTGGACGCGACCTCTCACCACCACGACCACCATCCTCAAATCACCCAGGAATCACTCACCAGCCATGACGACAATAACCCTTAAATCACCCGCCGTGAGCGTATCCCTACCAGAAGGCTTCTCAGAGTCTCAACTCCTCTCATTCCAGCCCTTCAATGTGAGTGTGCACAATCTCCGAGCTTCCTCAATGTCACCCGAACCGACATCCAAAGACATACACGAGACTTCTAACTAACAACCCACACAGAACTGGCTAAACCAACTAACCCACTCCCTCTCCCTCCAACAAACCAACCCCTCACACCCATTCCACAAAGATCCCTACAAACTACACTCCATAACCATCCAAAGCTACGACCTCTTCGGTCCACGCGTCGGATTCCTCAAGCTGCAAGCGCGAATCTCAAACAACGCCGGCGAGCACCTACCAGGCGGTGTATTCCTGCGCGGGCCAAGCGTCGGCATGCTCGTCATTCTCATCCCCGACGATGCGCCAAAGGATACCGATGAGCGATACGTCGTCTTGACCGTGCAGGCGCGAGTCCCGGCAGGAAGTCTGGAGTTCGCTGAGCTGCCCGCTGGGATGGTCGACGACGGACCTGGCGACAAAGACGGGGAAGGACAGAAAGACGGGAAATTCGCGGGTGCGGCCGCGAAGGAGATAGAGGAGGAGCTGGGAATACAGATTAAGGCGTCTGAACTTACGTGTCTTTCTGATCTTGCTGCGCATACATCATCATCCTCATCTGGCAACACGGAGGGAGAGGGGCTATACCAAGCGATGTACCCATCAGCAGGCGGTTGCGACGAGTTCGTACCGATCTACATGCATGAGCGGCGTGTCCCTCGCGACACGCTGAAGGAGTGGACGGGGAAGCTTACGGGGCTTAGGGACGAGGGCGAGAAAATCACGCTGAAGCTTGTCAGATTGCGGGATTTGTGGTGGGAGGGCCGGAGGGATTCGAAGGCGTTGGCTGCTTTTGCGCTTTGGGAGGGTGCTAGGAGGGAGGGGAGGTTGAAGTTGTGAAAGGCGGAGTAAGGGGAGTTAGAGAGCTAGGGGGGTTGGTCATACTGGGGATGCATGATACCCTCGAGGTGTAACGTAATTAGTATCAAGAGAGATGCTGATACAGGAAGTCATCTTGCACAAACACGACAGGACGCAATAGAGAGGTAGTTAGTAAATTCTACCTAAACCTCTCATACTCCGCAATCTCCTTCTGCGCTCTCTCGACCCTCTTCACAATCTCCTCATCATACACCTGCTCAGGCTGTTTATCACCAGCCAGAACAAGTCTATCATGTTCCTTGCCCTCCTCCTTCGTCATCAGAACGAGGTCCTGTAACCTCAGATTGGACGACTTCTGCTGATCTACTCCCTCGCCGATTTTTATCAGCGTGGAACTCGTTGGTTTCCGCCACCGGGTGAGAACAAGTCTTGTGGAGAGGCCGGTTATGACGCTCCGGCCGCGGTAGATGTCTTCGGTTAAGAAGGCGACGTCGCCTATCGTTACGGGCGTTTTTAGGCCGACGCCTATCGATACATCGCCTCCTACGAGGCGTCTGAGGACTTTTTCTTCCCCGCCTTGGACCGTTGCGAGGAGGCTGTCGTAGAGCTTTTCGCGACCTTTTGCTGGGAGATAATCTGTTGGGTAGCCTGGCCATTGTTAGCGAAAGCAAGCTTGTGAATGGAGTACAGAGTGAAATACCTGTTATAGAGAGGATGATATGGTTCGCTACTGTGTATCCAAAAACAGCGGGCATAGTGCCCAGTACTGGTAATATCCTCACTCTAAAATCGGGCAAGGCACCTAAATCGCCCACGTTGCCCTTTTTGAACTCATCCTCGGGCAAAGGCAGAAGCTCTGCCTTGCCCTCGCCTGTCTTTTCGGTGGAATATACTGTCGTTATTCCCGAGACGACACCTTGGAGTTTTAAACGTCTCCGTGTAGCTCTGGATAATCTGTCGTCGGTGCCCTGACTTATATCCCCCACTATGATACGCGTAGGGTCGCTCTTACAACCTGCGCCCATAGCGGAGATCACCGGTAATCCGTTGTCGTGGCAGTATTTGAGTAGCGCGACTTTGGTATCGATGTTGTCGATGGCATCAACGACAAAGTCGGGCTTCTGCCCCGTCTCTTTCCACGGCTCGAGTAATCGCGCGGCAACTTGATCCCAGAACTTCTCCTGCCGCAGATCGAAGTGTACCCAGGGCGTAATGGCCAGCATGCGCCGCTGAAGGCACGACACCTTGGATATTCCGACGTCGGAAAGCGTCGCGACGGCATGGCGGTTCAGAGAGCTCAGCGTCACCTGGTCGAAATCAATCAACCGGATGCGCGACACACCCGACCGCGCCAATGCCGCCGTGCAGTGCGAGCCGACTCCTCCGCATCCGACCACGATGACGAATGCGCCGCGCAGTTTCTCGAGGCCTTCGGGGGTGAGGAATACGCGGTTTCGTGCTAGCTGCTCGAGGATCAGCTCATCGTCGTAGTCGCCGGCTTGGGCGCGGCGCGCGAGGATCTCGTTTCGGATATCTTCTTTGTCGGCTGTGGAAGAGCCGCCGAAGCTGTTGAGCTGCATTGCGCCGGTCGGTTAGCAGGGGCATTCTACGAGGAGGCTGGGGATTGCTGGATTGACGCACCTTCCTTAGCGCATCCCCTTCGTCAGCGAGCGAGGGGATCGAGCTCTTGAGGTCGTGTATGCGCTCTTCACGGCGGAGGCGCTGGAGTGCGAGTATCGTACCTGCGACAACTGCGCCAGATGCGACGGCCGTCGCCGCGAGCTGCACTCGCGTGTTGGAGGTCGCTCGTTCGAGGAAAGCCGACATTGCCGTGTCTTTTTCCTCCTAAAATTATCCCTCGAATGTCGATTTCCACCTCAGACCAGGTCGATTTGATCCAGCATGACTCTTACCTGCTTTCACTGCGTTTGTGGGAATGCGAATTTGCTGGTGTTCACAGGGGCTGGCTATCAAAGCAAAAATGGGATAAAAGTTGACGATGACGGAATTTAGGGGTCCATTGATACAGTGCGTACATAAAATTTAATGACCTCTTACGCACTGTATTACCCATAAGAACAGAACAGGTCAAAGCAGACCCCGCCGTTAGTTGTCACCTACCCCTAGCCTACATAATGTGGTGCGCACTGGACAGCCGTCTCTGTGTAGACGGCGACGCATACGAACACTCCCAAGACCGTCTTACATTGCCGCTACTAGACGCGTATCAAAACGCAGAATAGACGTATTTCGAGTTGGTGAGAGGCAGGGAAGTAAGCGTTGGTTAGGTCTTATTGGACGACGAGTCGAGATACCATGTTTTGAGTCAGTCAACGACATCCCCAAAAGGTGAAAACCTTGGAAGCGCAAAACATGTCTTTCAACCCTACAATACTGTAAGTGGCTCTGGCTGCGGGCATAGTCTAAACTCCGGACCGGGTGCCTCACATTGTATTATTGAAGTGCGAGTTGAAGATGGGTGCGCGGGATAACACACACATGAAGATTCATAGGCAGGCCGAAGGGGCTGGATAATGAACCCAATCGCGTGCAGTATAGCGACTCAACTCTGGGACGAGCCGATAGCCGGTGGACACAAGCCTCTGCTACGGTATTCAATGCTTGGGGTTCGTTCTAGGGAAGTGATATTTATGATGTACTGCTCTGGTGCAGATTACAATACACTATCATTTTGGTGCGCATTGCAAGAGGCGCGGATATTTGCTATTGGGTTCGAACATTTTGAACCCTGTCTAGGTGAGAATCCCCAAACAACTGACTTCTTATCATCCAGTGTGTTGGCTTTCCACACGATAATACATCCAGTATGACTCCCGGGCCTTCTTCGAGTACAATACGATTGCCTCGGTACTCGAATGCATACCTACCAATGTAGGCTCGTCCGCAAGTAGTTGACACCATCACCTATGACCTGCTAATCGCATGTCTTACGAGGGATGCGACATGACCCTGA